GTGTGAACATGTATGTGGGCCTACATGCATTTTACAAGATGGGCCCCACATACCATTGGTGGACATGCATGTGTGGACATGTATGTGGGGCCCACATATATTTTTCAAGGTGGGCCCCACATAATACCTAATGTGGGCCTCATATACATTTTCCAAGGTGGGCTCCACATACCATTGGTAAGTCCCACTTACACATTCAAATAGTTTTTTTTTTTTTTTTGTGAAAACGTAACCTATTTTCTCCGAAGCGTGTGCATTGTACCACCTGTTTGAAGAAGATGGGGTGCTAAAAGATTGTAAAAGGTTCATTTTTTTTTTTTTGCTGCAATGTAAAGGCTTCATTTGAAGCTTCTTAAAAAAGTCTAAATTTGGGCTACTGTTGTGGGTTGGAGCTTTTTTCCAATAGATATTTCCATTGCCAAACAGGAAAAGTCCAGAATTCAGGCTTCTAGGCTTCTAAACAGCCCGAAGCCCGCATGGAAAGACTTGCCAAACACGACCTTAACCATGTCCCCATTGAATATTTTCATTTTTAAGAGAAATCGTTGAAGTTTTAAGTGTGTATACATGTAGTTAAAGTTAATGTTTTAAAACCGATCCAGAGGCCCAACTATTTTTGCCTCTGGGCCGTGGGTTACCGGTTTGACTGTCTAAATCGAATGGGTTAGACTGTATCTTGTCAGTAATATGTAAATTTATATTATATATATATATATATTATATATGTGTGTGTGTATTTTATCAATAAATAATATATAATTGTGTTCTATATATATTATATATTTATTTTATATTTTAATTCTGTTTTAAATTTTTTATTTGTAAAAAATATTAAAAATTGCAATTTGAGGCCAAAAAGTTTTTTTTTTTTTGCGAAAATAGTGGGGCAAGGCGCCTGTCTCTTTGGGATGCATAGATTTTGAAAAGTTACCCAAAATAAAAAAAATATTACCGTAATCGAACATCAGAGTGCAAAGTTATAGCCTCCCGAACAAGTCAATGATCCAACTATCTAGGTTGGACAGTTTTTGACCAAGTCAACAATTTTTAACTGTCCACCGAATTTTACTAAAACCAAACCCGAAATCTTGACCGGTAGTAATACAATCGACTGAAGGTTGAAGTAAATGGGTAGAGAAAAAGGCGCTTTATTTTGCCACATGAAAATTAAATTTAGCATGGTTCTTTTGGTATATCAGTTTTGACTCGTGTGACTAAAGGTTGTGATTGGTACCATTGTTGCTTCTAACTGAAAATTTTTTGGTGTTTCATCAATACAAATTTGTGATAGAATTTTTTTTCTACTTTTGGGCAGATTAATACACATTGTAGTTTCTATTTAACTGATTCTATTATGATATCAGAAAAATTTGTATCCAATCAATCGGTATCAAAAAAGAGGTAATCAATCAGGTGGTATTATCATGTTTTTCCCACAACATAGATTTTCTCCTTTTTAAAACATCAAATTCAACGTTTCAATTACAAATTAATGATGAATCTCACACATGCATTTTTCTAGTTGAAGTTAGGCCATGTTTGAGAGCGCTTTAGTTAGAAATAAGTGTTTAAAAACAAGTGCTTATTTGAATAAGCACTTATTTGCATTTGAGACCTAACTTTTTTGAGTGTTTATTTTTTAAAATAAGCACTTATTTCATTTGGTAGTCTTTTTTTCTAATAAGCACTTAAATAAGCATTTGTGACTATTTTGTCCTTTATTTTCTTTCAAAATTTTAAAATATACCTTTTGAAAGCATTTCTAATAAATTATTTTTATAAGAGTATTTTTATGAAAAGCATTTTTACGATAGCACTTTTATAAAAGTACTTTATGATAAATCAATTAAGTAAATAAAAGGGGGTGTTCAAAGAAATTTATGGTAAATCATCAATTAAGTAAATAAATTGCATATAAGATAAGTTCAAAGAAATGAGCCTATAAAAAGCACATATGCTGATATTTTGAATTTTCGTAAGGAGTTGGTGTGCCTGTATTTAATTGGTAGCACATGAGAAGAAGTGATGGTTGACTCGTTGTTGAGAGATGGACCACTCAGCAACCAGCATCATTACCATAACGAGATGTCAAATAGGCGGAATCCATCTTTCCATGTGTTGTTTCGGGTCTTTCTGTACGAGATTAAAATGTAGAAGATACGGGAAGTTTTATTTGGAGCTTTCCAAAATCAGCCCAAAATGGGCTTTTCATGTCTTTCCGGCACCCGTCTTTTGGTGATGCCTCTGGTTGGTTGTTTGGGAAAAAAACGGGCCCATTTGGTTCATGGGAATAGGGGTTTGGAATCAGAATTGAAATGGGTCATTCGAATTCAACTGTTTGGTTGGTGGAATTAGAATCTCATCCCATTCCTGCTGGAATGGTATTCCCCAATTTGAGGGAATGGCCATTCCTTTCCCTCCTTTGGGAGTGAAATCCCATTCCTACTTATTCTAATTTCAATTCTGATTCCTATTTGAACCAAACAGAGTATGGGAATAAACCACTCCGATTCCAATTCTAAGGCTATGTTTGGAAACAATGCAAATATGTAGAGTGAAAAATGGTCCATATAAATTGCAAAATTGGGTTAGTTTTGCACTAACAAATTTACCTTCTTACCAAACAGACTTTTAGCCGTAATGGATGCAAACACCAATTCCAATAAAGCATATGCCTTTTTTTTTATCAAAAACCCACTTAATGCAAATTTAGTACTTTTACATCTTATTATCAATGTAAATATGCATTGGAAAATGTGTTTTGTCATTTGTTAATGCATAAATGTAATGTTGCCAAACAAAGGAAAAAGTGAAGCAGAGTGCAAATTTACTCTGAATCAGGATTTATACTCCATTTGCATCGTTTCCAAATGCAGCCTAAGGGATTTGATTCTGATTTCAATTGCAAACCAAACGGATTCTAGGTTGTTTTAAAGCTTCACCAGTAAACCGTATTGTATTAAGTACAAACCAATATTTTAATAAATTATGATTTACACCTACTATTTATGATGTAAAGTTAGGTTATTTTTTATTTTTTAATTGATATATAGATTTCTTATTTAATTTAAGAGATTAAAATCGTGTTTTATTTCTAAACAATAACTCATCACTTTATGGATCTTCTATCATTTGAAATGTTTTTTTTTTCTTTTTAGTGGAGATAATTACCAATAACCTTTTTGAAAGTGAAGGTAACTACCATTTCAACTTTGAAAGTTCATGCTTTTTTTAAAGAATGGGTAGACACATATATAAAAATAGTGTTTTCAATCCACTGTAGATCCAAGCCAACGACTTGTTCGAATTGTCACTTAGCCATGGTTATGGGTACAATTTCCATAAAACCCAAAATTTGATCAAAACCCATTCGACCCTGGTGGCTAAACCACATTGACCCGGACGACTCGGTCATTGGCTCACAAGTTGCAGACTAAATGTATATACAAATTCTGGAGGCTATAACTTTGTACTCGGATGCTTGATTGGGATGATCTTTTTTCTTATTTTAAGTAACTCTTTGAGATCTATGCATCCTAAGGTGCTTGCTTGACTATATAACATATTTTCTACAAATAAGAGATTAAATACTAAAATAAAAAAATATAATTTAAATATAAATTAATGCATATATACACACATACACAATTTGCTGATGTGGTAGGATCTGACTTATTTGACCCATATGGTTGAATTGGTAATCCATGACCTAGAGGCAAAAGCGGTTCAGTCTCCAGATCAGTTTTTAAAACTTTGGTATGAAAAAGAATACTTTTATTTAAGAGTGAGAGCATGCATTTCTAAGATGCTCTTTCTTGAAAAAATAGAATGCTACTTGTCTGAAAACCCCAAACAACCCATGGTGTTTTTTTTTCACATTCAGATGTTATACCCACAAGATACTACAGCTGCATATTGGGAACCTCTTCCATTCTTGTATGTTGTCTTTGATGGGGAGTGTTTTTTTTTTTTTTTGGCTACACAGAGAGGTCATCCCCCAAACTCATAACCC